GGTGCATGCGCCAGAGCACCGAGGTGGAGAACCAGATGGCCTCGGTGGAGCGTATCCTTGAATACAAGTACTCGCTTATCCTTTATATATCTTCATATTATGTTTGTATTAATTATGTATCAATTATCTTGATTAATTGTCTTACTTTATTGAAATATGAGTTACCACTTATTTTATATTATTTCAATTACAATTTTCAATGTATAGAAATTTTTTTTAAGTAAACACAGGATTTAATTATCTACCGATTTAGTGATCTACTTACATCATGAATCTCATACTCAAATATTATTCCATTACTGACCGCATATTATAAATTCTTAAATTCCTAAATTTCTTAAATTTCTTTAAATCTTGAAATTTTAGATCTTGTAGCGTCCAATTTCTAAATTTTCTCTAATTCTAGATTTAAATTTTTTCAATATTTTTATTATCAAAGTTTCATAATATTTTATTATCAATATTTTTTCGTCTATCTAGATGAACAAATTTGTAAGTTTTATGAAAAATTGCAGATATTTCTAAAACAGTCTAATTTCTGTGTAGATTATTAAAATAACGTTTAATTTGTATTTTCTGCTTCGATCTTTTTTCAGCGGTGTGGACAGCAAGCCTCCTCTCGAAAGTGTTCCCGATAAAAAGCCCAAGTTCGATTGGCCACAAGAAGGTAAGATCAAGTTCAAGAACGTGTTCCTGCGCTATGCGCCTTTAGAGCCGGCAGTGCTCAAGAACCTCAAATCTTTCCGCGAGAGAAAATCGGCATCGTTGACAGAACCGGTGCCGGCAAGTCATCCCTGATTCAGGCGCTCTTCCGTCTGACCGATGTGGATGGTCTGATCGAGATCGATGAAGTCGACACAAGCCAGATAGATCTACACGATCTGCGTTCCAAGATCAGCATTATTCCGCAGGAACCGTTTCTGTTTTCTGGCAGCCTAAGGCGGAACCTCGATCCATTCGACTTATATGCGGATGAACCGCTGTGGCGAGCGCTAGAGGAGGTCGAGCTGAAGGAGATAGGCCTGGAGGCCCATATCAATGAAAGCGGCTCCAATCTTAGCGTCGGCCAGAGGCAGTTGGTCTGCTTGGCGCGAGCCATTGTGAAGAATAATCCGATACTCGTGCTGGACGAGGCGACCGCGAATGTGGACCCGCGAACGGACGAGCTCATTCAGACCACGATCAGGAGGAAGTTCGAGAAGTGTACGATGCTGACAATCGTTCATCGACTTAACATTGTCATGGACAGCGATCGCATTCTAGTAATGGACGCTTGTAACGCGGTGCGGTAAGTCAATTCTTTTGTAATCTTATTTTTTCGTGTATTTTTTCGATAACGTATACTATTGTAAACTATTGAATCTAAGTAGGTCGAATTTAAGTAGATTACGAAATTTTTCTTTTATTTATAATTATGGGAAATCAGTGCGAATGATCGTGATTTATCGATCATTTTTGTTACATATTTTTAAATTTCTTTTTCTAAATTATTATATTTATTTTTAATTTTTAAAGGCATATAAATTCGTATGTCTATTTTATGAGTTCTTCAAATTTTTGCTTAATTATTTTCGCGCTCTTTCTTGGAGT